TTGGCCCTTTGGCTCTGGCAGGCATAAGGACAGAGAGGGGAAGCAGCAGCAGGGGGAGAATACTCCCCTCTCCAGCCCTGTAACACTTGTGCGAACTTTCCGAAGTCAGCGCAAAAATTTTATGCACATGGCATAAAATCGAAATCAAAGTTGTTGCTGATTTGGCGCAAAATTAACAGGCAAAGCAGGCGTTGAGCCTTCAATCTCGGCTAGGCCAGGAAGCCTGTTCTGCCTTCGTCCTTTCTTCGAGGGTCCTCCCAATGTGGGCAATTAAAGCGAAGACCCCACCAAGTGCGACCCACTGGCTGGGTCCCCGGACCCATCGCGTTCAAAGGAAGTCCGACGCTCGCGCGTCTTGACTCAAATTAAATTTGCATTTCAAATTCCGCTTTTTGTGTTGACATCGACATGAGGATGGGGATGGAGATGGGGAGATGGGGAGCTGGGGAGTGGCAAAATCAAAGCATTTAGTTTTTAGACAAATCTATGGGGCAGGCATACACACAAACAACACACACAACACACACAAACACAACAGAAAACGGGATGCAATATGTAACGAAGAGAGGATACCTATTGATACTCTTTTGGTGGCAAACCAAGCTTAGGGAATGCTTAGATTGTTGTACAATTAAATGTATGACTTCAAATGACACAAAAATCTACAATTAGGCCAGGAAATGGATGCTGCATTCCTTTTTTATATATTTTAGGAATGAATTTCAGAATAGAATGTGCTAGAATGAGGCCCGCTATTGAATTTCGTGGGTTTCCTAAGAGTCTACACAGTCTGCAGTAGGTCTCCCATAGTCCCCAGATGTCCATAAAGCATCTCAAATTAATCACGAAGACAGAACAACAGAAAAATTGATAGATTCGATGTCTAATCCATTGTTTGTTCCCATCTAGACAGATGTCACAAACCACTACCCATAAACCACACACCCTAGGCAGTTTCTCCGTAAATAATGGGTATCAAAATATCACAAAAAAAGAAAGCAAATAAAGCAAAGCAAAGCAAGCAGGAAAAAAGGGAGGCACAACTTGAATGAATGAGCATGAGCAGGTGCGTTCCCTGCTCAGCGCTGGCCACTGGCCACTGGCCACTGGTCCTGCATATAAATCAAAATAATTTCGCTCTGTGATGTAATTTTACAGCAGAAGGAACAGCACAAGACGGAGGGGTGTATAAGAGTGGAGAGGGGAGAGAGGAGTGTATAAATCAGTGGGTTTGGTGCTGGGATAGACGAAGGACAAATCATGAAAAGGACAAATGAAGTGAAATTTAAATGATTGCTGCATACTCGCAGGCGATTGCTTGAACCACTTATTTTCACCTAATTGCACACTCGAGTGGACAGACGACGATGCTTTTTCCAGTTGGTTGGAGGAGGGTAAGAGGCAGGGGCAGGTGCTTAGGGGTGTGCGCCACAGGGGGGGGACAGGGTATTACGAGCTGTACCCAAGATTCAGGCTGACCAAAAAATCATTTAATGTTGCTAAATATTTAGCCAACCATTTGCGACACCTCCTCCCCATTTGTCCTTTGATTTGCGCTGTGGTAAATGTGTGCAAATGTATGTCTATGTGTGTGTGTGTGTCAAAACCATTTATGTAATCTGTAAGCACATTTCTTGTGTGCTGCTGACAATAAGTGAAAACCAATTATAAAGCGGCATAAGAAAGTGAGAGCCGGAAATTGGCACAAGTGTCAAAGAAGGAACGTGTCAAGCCCACACACAAAACACACTCACACACACACACACACTAACAGACACATGTGACATGTAACAGGAAGAGCTAACGGCAGCGCAAATGCAAGAGGGCAAAGGGTGGAAAAATGAAAACCGCAGGCGGCTCATTAAAGGCGCAAGGGGCAAGGTCCTTTCCCCTTTCCACTTTTGTTTTTGTTTAATTTTATTTTACTTTTCATGCCAAATGTTAATGGAAAATGCAAATTAGCAAGTTCCTTAATTTTCGAGGGGCTGCCAAAAAGCAGATACAAGTGCGGTCCAGTGCTTGTCAAACTGTAGACGGCACCGGAAAAACTGACTGACGCTGAAGTTTTCAATTAAAACTTGCAAACGAGCAGCAGCAGAGTCTCTTAATGAAATTCTTGACTTGTTTTCGGGTAAGCAGCGGCTGTAGAACTGCCAGGGGGTTAAAAAGAACGTAAAACTTAAGACAAGTTTGGGTTTAAATGGGTTAAAAATGGGTTTTGGATGATCGTTAGATGATCACTTAAATGTATTATGCTCTGTCTCACTAGAAAATCGAATTACTCCATTCATATCCTTCATTTGTCTCAATTTACTATCTCTTTGTGGCTCGAAATCAACAAATAACATTCATTTTGGCATAGATTTTGAACCTAGATATTTCCTATCGAAAAAACTATGAAAATCTGCTTCTGCCACCCATGGGGCACGCACTTTTGCCATCAATTTGTGTGTGTTGCAGCTTGTGTGCGTTCTCCCAAGTCAATTTTGCACCACTCAATCAATCAGAAAGCTTAGACACAATGCTGCTGAGACTGCGGCATAAACCCGCTGTGTGTGTGTGTGTGTGTGTGTGTGGGAGTGCGTTTGTGTGTGGAGTTCAATAAACTTTTTTTGCCCAAAAATGTAAGGGAGAAACCCCAAAGTGCACTCGCTGGCAGGGTCTTGGGGCTCCCCCCACCCGTGACATGTCGACAAAAGCAATGATTCCCTTTCGCCTTGGTGGAGGTAAGGAAACCCATTGCTGGGCTGCCGCTACTAGGAAAATGCAGCACCACAAACGTTACGCGCTAGCTGCATGTCATGACATGAGCAGGAAATGCGTTTTCCGAGGCAGCAGAGAAAAGCGGCGAAGGTTTTGGCGTAGGGTTTGGGAGGAATTGGAGTTTGGTTCTTGGTTTGGGTTTACGGTTACGGTAACGGTTTTTTGGCTATGCCATGTCCCCGTCTGTGCACCAAAGCGCAGCGCCATAAATATTTAAAGTGTGGAAGCAAAGCGCCCAACCTACCTCTCTCTCCCACTCTCCCACTCTCACTCCCTCTCTCGCCTTTACTGTTCCTGTCTGGCGTGTTGCTTGCCGGCTTATTTTTTGACAGTTATCGATTCGCTGCTGCTTGATGGCTGCCTCGTGCCACCGTCTTGACTCGCGACTTGGAGACGTTTTATCTTGCCGCGACTTGCCGCTTGCAATTCATTTCCTAAAATATGCACAAGAAAAGGAGAAGCCCACGCCGGTGCAGAGGTACAAAAATATATATCACAGAGTGTGGGGGGACAGGAAAGGGGCTTGGGCGCACTGTGGCAAAGCCAAAGAAAACGGCATCATTACATTGGATACGCGCTGTCAAGCGGCTTGCCACGCCTCCCACTCAGCGAAAGGGTAAACCAAAAACAGAGACACTGAACAAAATGGGGGCTGCAATGCGCTAAGGGTTAAACAAGAGAAATTATGGAAACTCCACGAAATTTTAAAACATATTTAAGGCGGTTTTTGTCTAAAAAAATGTCTGAAAATAAATGCAAAACCAGACAGAAATAAATGGAGGAAAAGTAGATTATTCAAAAATAAAGCTGAAAAAGTGGAACTGACTTCGGAGCACCAGCTTATATCAGACACTCCTGAAACCTACCAATATCTTGCATAGAATTTATAGAAAATTCATTTCTTAATATAACTTAGAAGTTATTTTAATTCTTAGTTGAACTTTCACTTGCTTTCGCTCGGTGCAGCAACCGCATTCAATATGTTGTGGAGTTATGCAGCATAAGCCCCATGTACTCTCGCACTCATTTCCTTCGTTCGCTTGGCGGCAGTTGAAAACTTTGGCAGCAGAAGCAGCAACTCGTTTGCCACTTTGTGCATGTTTAACTTTCCGGGCAGAGTCACCCACTGACACCCCCAGCACCGCTCCAACCCCCTTGGCTTTGATCAAAAGTGACACTCAAGTGGTGCAAATGTTTTGCCATTGAAGGCAACAACAACAAGAAAAAAAACCACTCCCCACAACTCAATTAACAAAATCCAAAAAGAGCCGCGCAGTCTTTTCGAATTTATTGTGCCTAAATGATTGAGCTCCAGGGAGCCAAAGCGCTTTTGATTGACCAGCCAACAACGTGTTGTTCATCGTGAGTGCACTGCACTCCACGTTGCCCTGCAGGTAAATCGTGTCTCTGATGCATAATGGAAATGTGCATGGCAAATGTTTGACAAATATTTACAAATTCTCAATTAAGCCAAGGAAAAACAATTGCAAAATGTGTAAAGATTTATTGAGGAATTAACTAAAGAGTTGAAGGCATTTTTATGGCAATTTAAAGTCGAACTTTGTTGTAGCTTAAATGGATTATTTTCTCATTGTGTTGAAACATTTATCAAATCTAGCAAATATTTGTGCATTTTGTTTAGACAAAAGACTCTTTTTTGTTGATGCAAATCAAGTGGCAAATTGACTTGTCCAGTCCACAGACAAAGTATTGAAGTGAACAGAGAAAGTTTGATTGAATGCGGAAAGAAAGGTAAAGAAATAAATGTGGAGCGATTTTTTTTTATATTTTTAGGGGAACTTTTTGGAGTACCAAGAGTCGAAAATCTATGAAAATCCATTTTCCTATTTATTTAATTATTTTGTGTAATTGGGGGATTTGGGGGAATTTGCCAGAGGAATTCCCTCTTACTCATGCCAGCAGACTGCATTTCATAGTTGAACCTGAGTTTAATAAATGACTCACTAAAATCCAGCCATTCGTTACGTGAAAACAGCCAAAAGTCTTGCATAAAAAAGCTTTTGGCAGCAGAAAGCTTATCAGCACAAAAACCAACACCAAATGCCGCTCTTATCTATCGATAATTAAGCACAGCCAACGATATACGACATGACTAAAGCAACAGTAATCCAACGCCTCTCACAGCTTTTTTTGTTGGGAGAGAGACTGAACAGATAAGAAGCAATTTTTGATATTTTTACTAAAATATTTAGTCAGCAGCAATTCGAACCACATTTAATCAGTAACCAGCTATAAGTCCCAGCACTTGGACGTGCCAAACATTTGAACGAGACAAATTTAGGAGAGAAAAAATGCCACCACCACACGATCATTGCGGCGGACAGCCACCCCATCGTCGTGGGCCCACCATCAAAGTGCAGATCGCTGCACCCTGGCCGCGTCGTCATCGTGCACCACCCATTGTGGTGGTGCAGCAGAGACCACCTCCACCACCGCCCGTAGTGGTGGTGCAGCAGGCACCGCCGCCATATGGATACTACCAACAGCCGCCGCCACCACAGGGTCCACCCGGAGGCGGTCACTATCACAATCCGCAGTACTGAAAAGGAGTAAAAGCAGCAGGAAAGATGAATTTATTTTTAGCAGTAGACAAAGAATGTATTAAAAATATAATATAAACGAGTAACAAATGCTTAAAGGAAAACTTAAACAAAATACTTGAAAGATTGGGCTTTCAATGCAGAAAGATTAACTAATTTTGTGGCACAAAATGTCTGCACGACAGGCGTTTGTTTTTCAGGGTTCATTAATAGACTTTGGATGGCTAGAAGAACTTCAGGTATGAGCATTGATTCTTGCAATTGCTGGGAAACGATTCCTTAATATTTCATTAAAATTTCTTGGCAATTAAAATACAAAGCCACAACAGTCCACAGCAAGCTTTTCTAGCCCGTTTTTGGTAGATGATTTCACAATTTTCCTGCCAAAATTATGTTCCAATGTAATTTTGTTTACCACCAAAAAGTTTATAAATTTGTCCCACAAACTCCATTTCCCTGCCAATTTCTCTACTCCATTTCCCTGCTTATCACTGAGATAAGCAGCAGTTATAGCCCCAGCAGCGATAAGCAATGGATCAGATAATAAGGTAAACAAAAGTCAGGTGAAAAATAGGTGAAACCGCAAACCCGATCAATAGAATGGAAGAGGTCTGTCGCACAAACACAGACAATCAGTATCAGAGCGCCAACATCGAATGAGTCAGAAACTCAGACATGACCTTATCTATAAACCAACTGGAATAAATGCCGTAAAGCCCCACACACAAAACATCAGATTGAATGAATGCCGCCTTCCAGTGGCATTGCTGTGCTTTGGGTTTCAGTACTCCACGCGTTGTTGTCTGGTCAGGATTGTTGGGAAGTTTGTGGCAGAGCGAAAATAGTTGTACATCAAAAATAGATAGGCAATAGCAGGCATGCGACCGTACTATGAGGATCCATGTGGCTATCCTCCTCGTCATCACGATGGTCGTCCAAATATCGAAATTGATGTGGTTCCCAATTGGGGTGGCGCATACTATCCGCCAGCGACTCCGGCTCGGACCGAGGTTGTCTACGTAACACCAGGTGCTGGTGGCTCCTATATGCCCGCCCAAGTGGCTGGTCCACAGCTGATGATGCCACAGCCATACGGAGGCATGACCATGGGTTCCGCGAGCTACTATCAGCAGCAGCAGGGCTACGAATATCAGTATCAGCAGCAGCAATATCAACAATATAATCTATATCCACAATATCAGCAATGGTAGAGAGGAAAGGAAAGAAAACGAAACTCTGGGACTAATGGAGGACTCTGGCATCCAGGCAGCAATCTGGAGCATCAGCAGACTTTGGAGTGCCTAGAATCTATCGAGAAACTATGTGCATTAAACTCAAATGTTGAGCAATGTTTAAAGAATGTTTTAAGCATTCAATAAAAAGTATTTCCTACAAAGTGTACGATAACCATAACAAGAAATTCTCTTTGGTATTTGGGAACTGTCAGCGAAAGAACCCATGAAATAGATATGATATGGAACTGATAATAACTGGAATAATTGAATATTTGTTTGTATGTAATTGCTGATAAATACAGTAATTTGTTATAAATATTACGCACTGAATTTTGTTTTTTTGCGCATCTCTGTTGCTTGGGCCACTAGATGGTTCAGTCATATGAACATTCCTTTCTTTAAGTTAAATTGGAATTAAGAAGAACTATACATTTATGGCGTATATCTTTTGTACGCCTTTTTATGCAAATCAGTGACTGAATTTATGTCTTTTCCAAAACCTTTCTGATGTAGTCACAAATTTGCTGGTGAAATACAAGCGCTCGTATCCAAACTGCTATCTTTTGTCGGAAATAATAAAATCTTTGCAAAAAATATGCATTTGTCTTTTGTTTGCTGATTTTCCTTTCTTTATTCGTTCGTCCCACCTTTCGTTCTTGTATTTCTTTTCCCATCTGTTTCTATCAATTTCAGACTGATCATTTCTGCAGCTCTTATCGATTTAGCGTCTACTTGTGGGTCCACTTATTCGCATGACGATCTAAATTCTTGTGTATTTCACTTTAATTATATCAATGCACAATCATACATTTAAACGGCTAAAACCTTTTACCTGTCCTTCCCCTTTACCCAAAAATTTGATGATTCATTGTAAAAACAAAACCTTGAACCTCCCCAAAAATGGAATTCAGATCGAAAAATCACACGCACCACCCACTGCCAATAGCTGGAAGTTCTTTTATCAATATAAATATTTATGTATATATTTTGATCGAAGAAGACATTAATTCCACCTGACAAGATAATGAATTTAAGCTACCGTGTAAAAAATTCCCCCGTAATTAGCGATAAAAAGTGGCCTTAAATAGTTAGGCAGGTGATAGTGGAGCTTCAGTACGAGCAAAGAGCCAAAAGGAGCAGCAGCGCAGTACTTGAAGGATATACCAGCAGAAGAAAGAGACAAAGGAATACCAGAAAGAGACAGAGAGACAGACAGACATGCCATACTACGAGGAAGAACGTCGTCATCATCACCATCATCATCATGGTGGGCGACCCATTGTGGAGGTGGATATCATTCCACCAAGGCTGCCCCGCCCAGTGATTGAGATCGATTTGTGTGGCCGTCGTCCACCACCACCCAGGGTGGAGGTGATCACACCCGCCGCTGTCTACCAGCCCCCCTATCAGCCACAGTATCAGCCGCAGCGACCCATCGTCGAGGTGGATGTGGTGCAGCCGAGCAGACCCTTCATTGAGTTCAACATTGGCGGCCGTCGTCCTCCCCCACGTGAGGAGATCATCGTTGTGCAGCAGCCACCCAGATGGTAGACTGGACATGGAACTGAGAACTGCCATCAGTTAATTGGAAATCCGTTTCAAATGTTTCTTCAAATAAGTTAAATGCATTTTATTTTATATTAATTGAATCTACATGATTGCCTTTCAATACTGCTTGTCCTTCGCTGTGGGCTGTGTGTGTGACACATCATTCGATTGTACTTGTATTTAAATATATATTTTATAAATGTTAATGGCATAAATATGAAAATTAAACAGTACGTATTTTTTTGCTGCACTTTGAAACGGAAATGATTGATGTCCTTTTTGGCCTGCTGTCTGGGCTTTTCAATTAGTGCATAACTATTTGCCATGTATTTGCCTCTGTCATTTGGTTGGCTTTTCCCGCTCTCTTTGTTATTTAAATAAAATCAAGACTGCAAAATGGCATTTGTCTGGCGATTTTAGGGCTTTTTATCGTTTCCATTTTGGGTGGAAAACGTTTATTTGTGCAATCCATTGCACGTTTAGCAGCGTGTCTGAGCATTGCCCAAATTGTTGGTGATTTCAATTTGGCTAGAGCATTTATAAAAAGCTGATACTCTAATTCTATGATATTTTAAAGCAATAAAAGCTTTTTTTTAATCCCAGACAAAGCACTTACAATATCCCTTTGAATGGCAGTCTATCATCACTAGAGCTCTAGCTGGCCAAATAATTGTCAAAATGGACACACTCAGAATTCTTGGCTTGAAATATTCGATATTTTATATACAAACTTACTGAAAGATAAACATGATTCGCTTTGATATTAACATAAATACCTTTAAAGGTCTTTTAGGAAAGGAAACATAATACATCTCAACATAAAACACTTTATAATATATATTTAGGCATCAATTAAAAATGCCAGCAGTCCAGTTCCAACCTTGTAAAAAGGAAGAAAAGTTTTCCTTGATGAAGAATTTATGGAATATTTTTGAAAAATATTTGAAAAACTGGATAAAAATAAGCCAAATTCAATTGTTTTTGCAATATGAAAAAAACAATTATTTGCTTCAAAATCTTGTTTGTTATATTTGTTATTAGAAAACTGACCAGGAGAAAAATTCAATTTTATAGAAAAAAAAATATAAGATACTTATAGAACCCAGAAGGAAACACTCAAATTTTATTGATAAATTTTAGCTTTATATTTTTTAGGAACATTTTCAAAATATATTCCAGAAATGAATTTCTTTCTCTATTCCAGGAATGGAGAGTCAGCCAAAGGTCATGGCTGGTACGTATTTCCCTGTATTCTATATACTTTCTATTGTCAAATCAATTTCAATATGTTGCTTAAATAAAGCTCAAATTTTCGCAAATGATCCCCTGATATTCACATTTAACTAAGACCCAATGATGACTCACAGAACTGCAAATGATCTTGAGGTAGACCCCTCATAGGAGGACACCCATGAGTCACTTCGTGTGGCCTTAGGCACCCAAAAAGAGTTCAAAGTGTTAGGGCAGCCCTGGCAAATGAGTCACAATCGTCGCTATGGAGTGGCTCTCTTTCTCCAAACCAAAATTGATCCATCAATGTACGTGATAAGGGGGCCATAGGAGGATTTCCTTATCGGGCAGTAGAATGTATCTATATAAATGGGCTGAAAAACACTGAAAATTAAACATTCAACGAACGCAAATCGAGCCTCGAGCAACGAATAAAAACGAAGAGAAAACCGTGTGTTAAAATCATGTCCGACATTCAGGTTAATGTGCAGTGCGAGTGCTACCATCGTCGCGGATTGCTGTACTTTGCCAATCCCCTGGCCTGGGGACGTCCCTGTCGCCGTTGCCGTCGTATGATGAGCCGCAATGTTGTTGTGGTGCCAACCACCATAGCAGTGCCAGCAGCCACCTCTGGCCCGTGCTGTGGACGCACCCAAACCACTGTGGTGCAGAGTGTGCCAGCAGTCAACCAGATGCAACAGCAGCAGATGCAGCAACAGCAATATCAAGCGATGAATGTCTCCGCTTTGCCACCCAAGTACGACCAGGCGGTGGCCTCCTACTAATCCTGAGGGGTTTTCGTTTCACTTCGAGATCATTTGTAACCTTTTTGTGGAAATAAAAACCGTTTAAGGCAACAAAAAAACTTGTCTCTGGGCAGTGTCCGAAAATCCCAGCGGAGACCTTGTTAAATGAGAATTAATTGGCAACAGCAACAAACGAGCAACAAAAACAACAACTACTTTGTGCAATTAAAACAAATTGTAGCCAGCAGAAACAACAGCAGCGAGCAGCGAGCAGCAGCAGCAGCCAGCGAGCAGGTTAAATCCACAGACTAAGTTGGTCTTGGACTTGGTCTTGGGTTACAACTTAGGGTTGGGTGGTGTGGTTTTGGATACCCTGGAAGAGGGTGTTGTAGTGTGGTTGAATCCAGAATTGAAGCATGTTCTATTGCAAGAGAGAATATAGTTGAAAAAACCATCAAATTTCAAGATTTTCCTAACTTTATTCCCAACTGTATTCTGTAAACTTCAGATTTATCAAAGCATTGCAGCTTTATGCCTACAAAAAGTGATTTATTTTTGATCATTCTCAACAGACGATCATCTTTAGCCCTTATTTCTGCTAAATTTGAACCATGTCTCCCTCCATCTATCTTCCATGCCCTTTTCCGCACTAGTTAACCTCTGCCAAGTCGACCTTCCCCGCCACTAGGTATTTCCCCATTCGTTTCTCTGAAAGTTCAACACTTGCCTTGTGGTATGTGTGGCTGTCTCTTGCACCTTAACAAAGGTCTAACTGGTTTAGCAGCATCATAAAACTTTTCTGCACATAATAATTCATATTAAACTTGCCTTAGCCGCTGCCCCTCTGCCTCTAGCTCTGGCTTTGGTTCTGGCTGCCTGGCCAGGTCAACCATGCAGCCATTCATTCACTCATTTATGCCATGCCGCATCTCATTCATTCATTCATTTTGCAAAACAAAGGCTGCAACACCCAGAGACTAAACACATTTTGGTGAACCTCCAGCTAGAAAAGAAGGCTAAAAGTCGGTCTTCACTTTGGCTTTTGTTGAGCCCTGTAAGCGAGGGTTGTTACAGAAAGTCAGAGAGATGGTTCAGAGAGAGTGTAGCTATGGAAAATTACAGCAAAGATCAAAGTTCGTAGAACCAATCTTCAGGTATTCACAATAATTGTTTGACAGGTCAAAAAAATCTTGTAAATTCGATCCATAAATTCCCAAAATTCGCATAGCCACCCGCTTAAACTATTACCCCCTCATACACCTGCCCCGCCATTACCCCGTTCAGCAGTCCACCTGCACAGGCTTTCCCTGCCCCCCCTTAACCATTATCCCATCGCATGCCTCATCAGACTCAGGGCGACCTGCTTTCGCCCTGTTGTTTTATAAACAATGAACATATTATGTGTAAGCCCCAACAACAATAGACCGAGGAGAGAAACGCAGTAGGGGCAGGGTTGAGGACCAAACTGCCAGACGACTCTGGAGCTGCCTCTCTGTAGGCAGTCGAAAAACAAGGTGTTTCCGACAATTTTTAGTTGCCCCCGAGGCAGCCGCCTGCCTCTCCCTGTGTGTTGTGTGGCCGACGTCAACGTCATTGTCGACCGTTTAGCATCTTGGAAAATGGCATGCCATTATTGAAGAAAAGTATGGCAGTGTTTGGGGCAGGAAGAGCAGCCTTAACACCCAGCCCCGAAAGTGCCTGAAGTTTTCACCGACTGCCTACGTGGGTGCGCCTTTGTTTTCAGCATTGTAAAGTTTATTTTTTTGCACTTTTTTGTGTGTGATGATTGAGAGAGGAACGTGCAGTTGGTCTTAAATGATTTCCTTCTGTTGGCTCTTGAGCGAATCCTTTGGTGCTTACACTGCTTGTCCCTGTGCTGCTTAGCCCACTCCACAGCTGCTCAAACCACTCCTCCACTGCTTAGCCCACTCTGCAGTGGTGCTGCCGTAACGCACTCCACTGCTTACTCCAGTGCTGCTCAAACCACTCCTTCACTGCTTAGCCCGTCTACTGCTTGCCTTCTCCTCGCTCTAACCCATTTTATGATTTACCTTTTGTTATTGCCCTTTGTCTGCCTTTTATTGCCCGTTTATTTTTAAGCGGGGGAACAATTTTTAATTGTGTTTCCGGTAATTTACACTCTATTAAAAACTGTACTGCAGCTCCGCTCGCTCTCTATTTTCAGCTCTTAACTAGCTGCCATAGATATTTAGGACATTATTTGGTCATTCAGTTCATCAACAGCAGACTCAGTGGCAGGCCTAGCCAGCATCAGACCTAGGAGTAACCTCCTTCAGTTTGGCTTTTGTCTATTGGCAAAATCAAATTACATTAATAACTAGAATCGGGCATAAATCAGGGGTTTTGCCCTCAAACGAGGCAGCACTCTGTCCGACAACGGACTTCTCTCAGATTTTGCCCAAATGAAAATCTGTTGTTTTCCCCCAACATTTTCTGGTACAATTTTAAACAAAACCCAGACACACACCGACACACAGAAAAAAGAAGGTGCTGATAGAGAATACGTAGAGAAAACCACAAATTTTGGGGCAAACTTTTACAGCAGCAGACGGGGCCTTGGGGCTCGGAGCTTGGGCTTTCACATCCATCCACAAACAGTTTTGTGCTGTGATTGTTCATTGAGGCATATTGGGAAATCCCTGCAGGAGCGAGGAGACCACTCTGAGACGCCTTTCATAGTTGATTTTCTGCATCAGGGCAGTGTCTGCCTGGCAGCCCCAACACCCCACACAATATTCATGAAATGTCTATTCTAATCCGGAAATTAAATTCCATTTAGAAATTGTCCTATACAAAATGTTTGGTCAGCCATTGGGTACATCGAAGGGAGCTCCTGCTCCCTCCCATACCCCATATGCAGATGGTCTGTAGGATCCTGGATAACAGGCAGCCAGCCAGCCATCTATATGCTTAATTTATGGTGAGCCACTTGTTCAACCAGAAGCAAGAGGCAGTCTACTTTTGGCCAAAGAACTTAACCCAACAAAATATTGGGAAACTTAGCCGCAGGGGCAACAGTTTCAGGAGCAGTTTTGGAAGATCATTTAAACATTTTTTAACAAATTTAAATTAATTTGAAAGCTTCAAGCGTATTCTGGAGATATTTATTTAATTTTTTTGCAATTATAATTTAGTCCATTTTATACCTTGGAATATTCTTCTGAAAAAACATTTTCCATTTAGTTTCTCAAGCAATCAAAACAATTCCCAGACTTTTCCACACATTTTTCGCCTTAAAACGTAGAGGGTTAAATTTTATGGAGCCAGACTCGAAGCGAGACAAATTCATTTGCCAATATGTTATACAATTAAAAAGTTTGCTTGAACAGAGATAACCAACAAAATGACAAAATCCACACATGAAAAGAGAGAGACAGATTGCGGATATTTATTTTTTGGACAGCAAAAGGAGTACCACAAGGTAAAGGACCTAAAATAAAAACCTTCAAATCTGCAGCCATCGGTTAAGGCAAAACTACAATCAGCTTTGAGAAGGCACTTTTATATTTACCCAGCAATTTGTAGAGTGAAGTTTGTGAGTGGGCTTTAAATTTACAGCACATCCCTTTTTATTTTAAAAGGGAATAAATTACACATCAAATGTGTCAACTAATCAAATGGCGACAGATAGGGAATATTTGTTGTTGCTTCGTACCTGCGGAAGGTAAAAGGCTCAATCAAAGCATCAAGCTGCCAGCCACCATTTGTAATACGAGAGTGCGAGAGCACGAGTGTTAGGGGATGCAGTCTGTAAAACCCTAATGCGACAAAGCCATTTACTTTATTTGTACATTTTTATTTTACAAAATACTCTCTGCAAAGGGGTAGGCTTGGTTTTGAGCAGAAGGATTGGCAAGGGGACTTGAAAGGCTTTTCCACACGAGTCTACAGCTTTTTTCCATAAAATTGAACTACAAGAAGCTCTCATTTGCGTCTGTTTTAGTCGGCTTAGATTTTTATTTCTAATTGCAATAAAGATGTGCAGCTTTCCTGACAAATTGTGCCTATTTTTCAACACTTTTTTAAGTGTTACACAGCGCATTTTGGTTATTTATCGTTGCACTACTGCCACATTAGCTCAATGTTGGACCATTTCTCTGCCATACTCCGTATATTATTATTTCCTAATTTTCTCAGTCGATTTCTAGCATTTGCTATATTTTTTCAGTGCTGTTTAGCGCATTTTGCACATTTTATGGTTGCAGTTTTGCCACCAATCGCTCAGTAAGGGTATCCATAGTTTGGTTTTACCATTCTCTAATCGTTTCACTTTCATTTTCTGCTGGTCTCTTTCGCTTGCGTTCCATCGTTTTGTTTGTTTGTTGCGTGTGAGCCATAAAATTCTTTATCTTATTTCATTTTTTTGGTTTTTTGTTTTGTCTTTTTTTTAGCTCGCGAAAATGGGCAAATGGCAACGCCAAATGTTTATGGCTTGTTATTTGAGCATAAAAGCATTTTGCCACACCCATCGCACAGCGCCCACCCGCACGTATGATACCACCACGCGCGCAGCAAAAATTATCATTCAAAATAAAAATAAAACAAACAAAAATGCCAAAAGCCTGAAACAGAAGCGCGACGAACAATGAAATTGTCAAAAAATGTAAAACGAGACACGCATCAAAGTGGAGCTCTCCATCAGGGATGAGGGAAATTGTTTTGGCCAAACAAATAAATTTATGTTGGCAATTTGAAAATGAGCGGGGGTGGGCTCTTTCGAGGGGGTGGTTGGTTGGGGCCAGAGGTTGAGATAAATAGAGCGCCCGCCACTTGAGATGCTCATTCAGGGCTAATAAAAATTACGCAGCAATTGCAGAGAACGCGGAGAAAAAGTTCGAAGTGTCGACAGAGACGACTCCTTGGCGCACCTCAACCCCTGTAACCCTTCAGCCAGGGGACACGTACTGGCAAGAATCGTTGAGGTCTCAATAGCCTGCCCCCAGAGAGGCTAGGGCAGAGACAGAGGCACAGTCGGGGGCAAAGACTGAAGTCAGAGGCGAATGGCAAATCGTGACGCAAATGGCAAATGAAAAGCAAATGAAAACCAAAGGCGAAACTGCGCCAACATAATAAGAAATGTAATCAGACTAAAGCGTGGTGCCACAGTTCAGGGCACAATGCACAGGACTACGCGGAAAGCGATGGAAATAGTTGCCACTACAATGCAGGATTAGATGACAGATCAAAACGATAGGTTTTTCAAGGGAAAACTTAGCACAAAAATGTGGTTTACCAAAAAAAAAGTGCATGAAATTCCCTTATTATTTCCCAGAAAAAAGTGCGAATGGAAAATATCCCCATCGGTGAAAAACCGAACGTGTCGGAGCCAACTTACAGCACAAAGCAGTTGGCAGTTGCAGCGGACTCTGTGCAGGACTTTGTAGTTCCTGTCGATTTCGTGAGGTTAGCGCCATTGACCGGAAATGTAAAATGCACTTAACACACGCCACCTCCGCCCTGTAACTATCCCAACCGCAAAAACCCCACCCCGAAAGCCGAAAGGAAAGTGGAAAATATCGCTATCAATAAATTCGCACGTGGCTGGTTGGAGGTTGGTGGAGGGGTTCGGGTTCGGGTTCGGTGGATAATTGCAAAAACTCAGTGCCAGAGTCAGCTGTAATTCCTTTTCTTTCCTTTCGGCTGCTGGAGCTGCCTCTGGCTGCTGCTGGCGCTTTTCGAAACGATTTCATTCCATGGCCTGGCACTCGCAATTTGAGCTTTTTGAAACAAACACGCGCCGAAGCAACTAAAAATTGTTGAAAAGGAATGAATCCCCTCCACATACTTGATGGAGGGGATTTAGGTTGCCAAGAGGTAAGGAAGAACTCTGCGATTCAGGTTAAGTGAGTGGGGGGGTTAGGGTTCAGAGTCGGGGTAAGAGAGCTCCGCTCCTGTGGTGACTGCTTTTAACGAAAATTGCTTCATTAGAAGCAGCGGCAGCGGCAATGGCAATGGCAGTGGCAGTGGCAGATGCGGCAGCAGCGGGTTACTCGACCGCTGCCTGATTGAGTTGCACTTTCGGAGGGGGAAGGCACAGGCACTGTGCACCAGGAGGCACTTGCATTGTGTTAGGGGCTGGAGGAAGGCAACAAAGTTGCGAAAATTAAAACGAATATTTTTTTATTGGATGAAAAGCAACACAGTATCCAGTAGAGAAAGTCTTGGCCCATTTTGATTGTGATTGGCAACCAAAATTAGTAAAAATGATCATTTTTAAATAAATTTTTAGTCTTCACCAGACTCCACAAGATTCGCGCCTTAAGTAATAAAATAAAACACACTTTCAAAAATGAAATTTCTGAATTTTGTATACATTTTTCTTGGAGCTTATTAATTGAAGAATATGGAAGGAAATTCCGATTGAGAATATTCACAAATCGTGAGTGAGATTTTTCGATAGATATTGTTAGAATATTTCCCTAAAAATCTATCGCATAAAAAACTATCAATAAAATTGAATGCTATGCAATAAATGCCAAATCCTGTTACAATATTTTCTTTTTCCATTATCCAATTCACCTTTGGGTAAACATTACTAAATTTTAGTGCTCTAAATGTTTGTTTTATTCAAAATTTGTGTAATGTGTTCGTAATTGTGCTTCCTGTGGCTGTGTCGCTTTGTTCTGCAGGAATCGGATAAGCTCGATGTGGCCAAGGGCGTCGCGGCCTTCAGAAGAGGTCTTGTGGAGCACAACGCCGTAAGTCTGGGACACAACGACAATACAAGACTGAGGGACACAACGACAATACGAAACAGAGGCAACGGACAACGGCATCATGGGACCAGGCATGAAGCAGTTCAGCGTGCCACAACCTAAAATATGTGAATATTTAATTCATTTTCAATTTAGTATTAATAATTATATTAATCAACGACTTACCATAGCTCCTTTTGAGGGGAACTTGAACAAAGGCACAAGGCCAAATTTTGAAAACTAATTTTTTAAATGAAATTGAATTCATATTTGTTTGTTGCTTTACTTTTAGCAACTAAATAACAAGTGAACAGAAAACACAAAGACTGCTAGATCTAGGTCGAGAAATTGTGAAAAATTCAAAATAAAATCAAAATCCTCATCAAAATCAGAGTAAAGCAACAGCACAAAATTCTGTAGAACTTTCATTGTGTTTTCAGCTATTGGTTGGGTATCCCTGTCCTAATGAAATTAAAGGTAAAAAACACTTTTAGGCTAATTGCTTTAAATGCGTGTGGCGGCAGCAACAGCATACAAAAAAAGAAAAAGAAAAATATTTCTATAGAAAAGAAAAAAATCATTTTTGTGTGCTGTGCCGATTGTGTTGGCTGCTGGCTGCTGGCTGCTGGCTGGGCTCGTTTGCATTCATAAATCAAAAGAGCATGTGTCTATCATGGCCAGCAGCCAAACAATAGAATACCGTAAAGATTATATAGAAAATAGCCACACAATAAATAGGAGCAAAATATGAAAGTGAGTTGAGTTGAGGAGAAGCAACAAGAGCAAACCCACCGCACAACAAATGGAGCATAAATTACACATGGCCCCGCCATAGAGAAATGATACTGCCCGTGAACATAAAACAGATGACTGGCCAGGGCCTGTTTCGTATAGGAACTTAGGGACTATAGCAGAGAGGGATGAGGCTTTAGTGGGGGCACCCAAACTCATCATTTACAAAAATGCCTCGCGCTGCTCTTGGCATTTATGGTCATCAGCGACGGGGTCCGAAAAATGAAGTTAGCATTTCCCTCTCTCTGTGTCTCTCTGTCCCTCTGCCTCTCATCTCAACTCATATCCGTTTGCAGTCCCTGCTAAACTAATCGCGTTACAATGAAAATTGATGATGCTACACAAAGAAAAGAAGAAATAGGAAACTGTATTTGGATGGTGTTGCGACTAAAGGATGCCCCTTAATTTGTGCAGAAAACTGTAGAGATACGAGAAGTGAATTAAGAGTATTTAGCTTATAAAAGAGCAGCCGATATAAGAGCGCAACAGCGCTGTTAACAGTCCAGGTTAACAGCCTTCGATCTTCGCTAACAGCCTGTGGCCGCTTTGCGTTAACAGCCTATGAAGGCTCTCTGTTAATAGCGCTACGTTAACAGTCTGTGGCCGCTCTGCATTAACAGCTTGTGTTCGCTCGCGGTTCAAACTCACTGTCAGCAGTATCTGCCCGTCGCTCTTCGACGGTCGCTCTTCTGCTGTCTCTGTCTCTGTCACTGTTCTCGCGCGGCTTCAGCTTGCATGCTTAGCTTGCGCTCATCGTTGCTTCGCTTCCTTGCATTTACAGTTTTATAAGCACTGCTACAAGCCGTGCATTTTTTTGTTATTTACAAGGTTAGCATACCCTCCCTATTCTGATCAATTTTTGGTACCCTGTTTAACACACACAAAATCCCAACACAATGCGAGAGCGTTGTTGGTCCAGTTAGCTTATAACTATGCAACATATTTTAGTGCCACAAAAGTGGGCAAGCGAATGCCAAAGTGCAGGAATGTCATTGACTTTGTTGCAGTTGCAGCCACTTAAATTCAATTGACTCCGACCCCCCAGTCCCGAACCCCAAACCCCGGGGCAGCTGCAACAGCAACAGCAACAGAAACAACAACAAATGTTTGGCAAATATTGTCAACCGAGTCGAGTGGATGGATGCCAGCTGAAAGGGTGGAGGCGGGACAGCTAGAGGAATGGCAACTCAAATATGGGGGAGGAAGGGGGCGCGATCCAGTTAACAAAGTTTTCCCAACGAACCAAACCAGAAAACCAAACAACAACAGGCAGCAGCAGATGCAGCAGCAGCGACTCGGAGAATCAGCGTGGACAGAGAGAGAGAGAGAGCGAGAGCGGAGAGTCCTGCCTGTCCATCCCTTTGGCTACTTAACTGTTCAGTCGACCAGTCCGAAAGTGCCAACCCCGCACCCCACCCCACCATGACTATTAAAATGCAACGAGAGAAGCGCGAATATTCTGCGGGCACTCTGTCTGTTTGGTTGGTTGCTTTGGTGAAACAACAATTGAGACCAAAAATGTGGAACGCATTTAATTGAATTGGAAAAAGTCTAAACAGCCAGCCCGCGATTGGAAGCCAAAGGATTTTGAGTGAAGTTTTGGGAATGCTCTTCTAGGCAGGGTATAGGAGGATGGAATTGGTAAATGCACAAACAGATACAGAGGGAATGCAATTGTGAGTAGCTGTGAAAAATGAGCTTATAAATCAGAGAAAATTGTAAATTCAATTGTTTGTATTTATACATACTTTATACAATATTTTTAAGGCCTTTCATGCACGAACATTTTTACAACTTTTTATAGTTTTCTGCAGTCAATTTATTTACCTTTTTGTGTCCTATAATTTCAGATTTTCTAATGAACTCTTTATGGATTGTATTACGTACCAAAAAAATGGCCATAGAATCAAAGAGAATCAAGTAAGTTTTTGCTTTTTTTCTCCCCAACAAAATTACCTTCGATGATTCCAGCAGCTAAAGATCAGCCATCAATTTAATTTATTCTCCTAAAATAATTCCCCAAGTGCTAAAAGGCCTACAAATATTTCTAGAATATGCCGACAAACCCCACGTAAAAATATCTTTACCCCAAAATCTTCGTAGAGTGTCAAAACCGATTGCCAGTCAAACGAAATGCGACCAAAGTCCAAACTCGAATGCAATTACATGCCGATGCTCGCTGCAAAGGCAAACAAATACACATACACTTTATGTGTGTGCGTGTGTGTGTGTGTGTGTGTGTGTGCATGGGTTGGCAGTTAATATGATGACGCTTAAACATGGCTAAAAAGCATTATGGCCGAGGCAAAGTCAATTAGAGCCGAACGCTGAACGCTGAACCCTGAACGCCAGACTACTGGCCCCAATGCCATTTCCCTGCCAGGACAACGATTCTGGGTTATGCCCATGGCCGCAGGTCCCTCATCCTGATTCTATTCCCGGTCCTTGTGCTGTGCCCCGACTGTAAGTGAATTCAATCCATATTTGTGGCAAATTGTGTTTGGCCGTGGCATTTCGCTGCCTTCCACCTTAAATGTTGAATGTTTTCCCCCCGAAAATCCAGAGTACACACTTGATGAGCCTGATTTTGGTTAGGGTTTTAGGGGGAGGGTTCTCCTGGAGTTTTGGGGGATTTTTGTTTGTCAATTTGGTTGAATTTGGCAACGTGCTTGTGTAGCAATTGAGACGATGTCTCCACGGTGATCCAGGGCCAATCCTTTTGCTTTAGCTTTAGCCCTTTGCCATTCCTTTGGCCCTCGCTCCAAAGTTTATTTTTAAACGA